GCGACATGGGCTCCACACCAAGAAATTTTTACAAATCAAGCCCACGAGAAAGTATACAGTAGATCGAGTCAACTACCCAAGAAATGCTGTGCCCCAACTGCTTCGCGCCTGTCGCCGCAACACGGATCTCCTGACCGTCATCCTTCCAGGTAGTGTAGCGTTTGAATGTCGCAATATACTGTGGAACAAAATTCATGAGTCCGGTTTTTCACAACAGGTGACCCAGTGTGTGTATTTTCATATGAATTTTCAATATTGAACGACTACAGGTTCGTCTTTTACCGCTAGAAGATCTTAATTAAGTTCCTGATTTTTCGTTTTTGCAGTCCTTTCGGCGTAAATTTCGGCAATGTGCGTGCAGTGTGTTTTATCGATACTAATTGATTGATCGATTGTATTGTTTGTCTAATCAATATTCACGTTCTCTAGCAGATTTGAATCATTTTTTTTTGCAGAATTTTGAATAAAACATATTGTTCGAGTGGACTGTCTTGGTGTGACCATGAGTGGACGAGTTTTCCAAACTTTTCAGAAGTCCGTTCTTTGCATTATTCTAGCTTTGCTTGATGATTAACGGCAATTGTATGTGCACCTCATATCATGGAAATGGACAGGGCGTGGCTGCGAACTTCATTTGAACGGCACCTGCGCTTCTGGTGAATTCCGCTGTTTTGAATCAATTCCTGTCCAAGACAAGTTCCTGACTGAAACGGCTATCTCAAATTCGGGAAATCCATGGGCAGTTATCCCATGTATCTTAAGCCATGCTCAAGCAAAGAAGTGCGCAGCCATGCCTTCCCCATCTCTGGGATATGAAGTGCGTACGTCACTTACTGCTTATCTCAATGCTTTCCTATCATTGGTCAGAGCGTAGGAAATTAATCCGGCATACTTTTTAACCTCGAAAAAATGGCCGCAGCATCACGCAGTTAGTTCCTTTTAGCTGCCGTTAAACATGAGGCATCTTTATCTTGTCGTACCCACAACCCCACGTTGGCCACCATTAATGGTGTACCACCTCATCGCGGTGATAGGGTGTACACTACTAATGGTGGCCAACGGTATAAACGGCTACGCAGTACGCACAGTAATGTGTGTATGGGCGGCTTTCTTGTATCCCTAGCAAGGAACAAGGGAGTAACATAAGGCCAGCACTTGCTGCTCAAACAGCTTTCATATAGCGCCCTGCGTTACATCGGATATACTCTTCTAGGACGTCAGGATGTGCCTCTACCGATGAGGGGCCATCTAATCTCGTCAGGGAATCAGCACGTCATCAAAACAATCGGAAACCCGGAAACTCCCCCACCCAACGACACAAGGACTGCCTCTTCGTCTGCTCGTATAATTGTCGGACTATTGCATCGGATGCTGATCTTCGAACACTTTTGCTGAGGAGTCGTCAGATCAAGTACGATGTTATCGCTATGCAAGAGACGAAGGCAGACGGAAGAACCATCAGAAAAAACCGATAACAACGAGCGCTTATTGTTCGGAGCCAGGTTGGATGGCCAAAATGTCGGCGGAGTTTACTTCTGGTAAATCCAGCCAGTGGTCCAGACCTAGTCGACCTCTCCACAAAAATCGTTAGGTCCACGCCATCGCTGTCTACGTTCTTGCTGACCAAAAATCAAGGTACCATATCCATTATCAACGGATATGCGCCCACCTCCGCCGCCACTGAAGAAGAACGCGAAGAGTTTTACCAGCTTCTTGGAAGATACGGTTCAGAATGAGAGAAGTTACTACAAATATGTTGTTGGTGACTTCAATGCCCTTGTAGGCACGAATCACGGAGGCGATTGGCGACTCGGGCCCCACGGACCGAAATGAAAATGGAGAAAGGCTGCTTGACTTGCTGTCTGCATGTCGCCTTTATCACGGAAACTATGTTCGAGAAGCCGATTAGACGACGATGGACCTGGGAAAGTCCAAATGGAGAAACGCGTAAGGAAATTGATCACATCCTAACCAATCGACGCTGGAGCCTATTCGACGTATCAGTACTGCCGTCATTCGATACTGGCTCAGACCACCGTTTGATACGTGCCAAAGTATGTCTCAAGAAGAAATTATTCAAGCGCGACAGGCATAGGCCCTTACCTTCGAGGAATCCCTCCTACAACACTGAGCAATTGGAAGCTTGCATTGAGGCTCATAGCTGGCATTTGCTGGACGACCCATCAGAAGACTACAAATATCTGGTTGAAGGTCTGTCCAAGTGCGCAGAGCTTTCACGTCTCGCACGATCAGATTCCAACCCAAGGCTCAATGCTGTCGCAACTACTTTGTTGGAAAAAAGGAAGGCTATGAAAATGGACCCCAATGCCACGCACTTGGAAAAGTCACCATCAACAAGGCATGCCGGTTTGCCGTCAGAGAATCACTCCGAGCTTACAGAAGAACTAGACTGCTGAAGGCGGCAGAAACAAGATCGAGCATCAAACGCTGCAAACGAGATTTGAACGATCAAAGAAATGTCATTTCAGCTCTTATGGACAAGGATGGAAGAATACAAACATCTAGGAGATCTATCGAGGACATCGTTAGTGAATTCTACACGAAGCTTTTTCTTCCACAAATGTCCCTAGATGCTCTGTACCGCCTGCTGAAGACCCCCTCCTATTCTGGAATCGGAAGTTGCAAATGCGATCAAAAAGATGAAGAAAGGAACTGCTCCTGGACCCGATGGCATATCTGCCGATCTTCTTCGTGCAGGAGGAAAGTCCCTTCACACACTTCTCGCTGAGCACTTCAGTCATTACCTGCAATTAGGAATGATTCCAGAACAGTGGAGAGAATCGAGAACAGTTCTTCTGTTCAAGAAAGGCCAGAGGGAGGAGATTGCCAACTACCGGCCTATCAGTCTGCTCTCGACGATATATAAGTCGTTCACGAAAATACTGCTCAACCGTATGGAACGCATCTTGGACGACTATCAACCACCAGAGCAGGCCGGCTTCCGCAAGAATTTCTCCTGTATGGACAACATACAGGCAGTAACACAGCTCATAGAGAGGAGCCGCGAGTACCATCTTCCACTTGTCCTCGTCTTTGTGGACTACAAAAAGGCCTTCGACTCAGTGGAGGTTAATGCTGTTCTCAACGCCCTTGTGCGAGCCGGAGTACCCTCTGCCTACATTCGCCTGCTCGAACAGAGTTTATCGAACACATCAACAACCCTGCAACTGTTCGAGCGCAAGGTAAAAGTACCCATTGAGAAAGGGGTACGGCAGGGGGACACGATATCCCCGAAGTTATTCACGGCAGCATTACAGTATGCGATGTCAAACCTCAACTGGGATGACAAAGGATACTTGATTGACGGGAAGAAGAATAAGCAACCTCCGTTTCGCCGATGATATCGTTTTGATATCCGATAACACAGTCGAAATGGAAGAGATGGTAAACGAGCTCGACATGATTGGTCAGAAGATTGGCTTGGAAATGAATATGTCCAAAACGAAAATGATGGTGAACCACTGGTGTGACGCGGGAACCGTGAAATTGGCAGGAGTTGCTCTCGAAAGAGTGGATTCCTACGTGTATCTGGGAAGAGAGCTAAACATGCTGAACAACATCTCTTCTGAAATAAGCCGCAGGAAGGCGTGCAGCATGGGCAGCTTTTGGAACGATTCGTGAAGTAACGGAGCAAATTAAGGACCCTAACCTAAGAGCCTCGATATTCGACACGGTGCTACCAGCGATGTGTTACGCGACCGAAACCTGGCCTGAAAACAGGACAATCTTCAAGGCAATGCAAACTACGCATCGTGCACTGGAGAGATGTCTTTTGAAAGGTCGGCCGCCGCCAGCAATGGCAACAAGGTCTACGAAGCTCTTAGACCTAATCAGGGAGGCGGTCTTTATTGACTAGAAAGATGCCGCTGCAGTAATATCGCGCAGTGCAAAACAGCTGTTTTGTCGTCTCCCGTTGGGCTGGTCAATTCTCGCCGCAACGATGAGAGATGGAGTCCTCCGCGTCACAAAATGGGCTCTCAGGACCTTGTCTAAAATGCCTCTGGGACGACCACCAACGCGTTGGTCCGACTCGTTTTTGAAATATTTCAGAGAACGCGGTCCACCACATTGGATGCAAGTCGCCAGAAATCGTGCGTTATGGAAGAGCTGTGGTCCCCACTGAAGATCAAGCCAGTTGAAGGACCATCAAAGTATCAAAGTAAAGTAAGTAAAGTACCCACAACCTTCAACCTCTTATGTAGCAAGACACTGGTATGTGGCATGCTGGTGGCGGTGGCGAGCGACGCCGTGCGCTACGGACGAAATGTCGTCCTGGCCGTTTGAAAGTTGAAGGGAATGAAAATTTGGTATCGCCCATCTTAAAGTCTTGTTTCTGCTTGAACTCGTATGAGTTTCGTGAACTAACTGACAAATAGATGCGCATTGAGAACTTGCCGCGCATGGCCGCATGGTACGCCGCGCGCGACGACGCCAGAAATCGCGATTGTCTTGTCCGTTTCCTCATTCAACCTTTCACTTACCCATCTTCTTTAGAGCTCTATATTCGAAGTCGCTACCGTGTGATTCATGGATTCATGATGCCGATGTTGGTTTTTGGGAAATATTCCGCATGGGTCAGCATCAGTTTTGCCACAGTAACATTCCTAACTAAATCCCAAGTTCGACCTGCAAGACGGCCACCTCAACAAAACAAAAAAATACAATCTTCATTCAGCTCAAAAATTTGAAAAGTAACAAAAATTAACAACTTATTAAGCATAACAAACGTTAGTCAACAATAATGAACCGGTACTCGAGATCTCCGCACAAAACTTTCTAGGGCACCATGCACGCTCTTCAAGCTTGTAGACATCAATTAAGCTTGCAAAATAGCCAACCGCGCCACAATCAAGACATCTACAACTTCGCCGAATATAAGCGAACCCTGGCAACTGCCTACAGAGGTGACTTGTGGCTCCACAACTAGTAATTATGTAATATGAGGTAGCAGTAAGCAAAAGCCACATATAACCCGGAAATTATGCGCCATCTTCCATTTCATCATCAAATTCGTCCCTGTTCGTTACAGCACCACCTTGAATTCCATAGGTCTGTCGTTTCAGTACGTTAAGATCGTTTCGAACCATCATTTCAAAGTTGTCAGACTTCAGATTACCAAACTTCTGAAGCAGAAATTTCTAAAACATGGGTGCACTACGTATAATACACTAAGCTATTCATCCAGATAAGCTTCCCGGTCAAACTCTATTCGGAGGCCGGCATCTCTTCAGTTTTAACATCATTGAATGAACGTGCTGCTCACATAACTGATAATTAAGTAATTCTTTGCACTAGCGCTTGACTTCTAGCCCTGCAGAAAGGAAGACTCGGGATTGCTTATCGTCCACAAAGCGATCAGCTTGTCCCTAGCGCGGATCACAATGCGCGCGCCGTTCTTGCCCTTATGTCGCCGCAACTCGAATCTACTGACCCTTACTAGCTTGGGTGTCTATTGCTTTTTCAGGAACGGAACGCAATGGACAGATTCAGGGGAATTAGCCTGGCACCTCCTGGCCTCACACGAAGCTCCTTAACGTCAGTCAAATTGTGTGCATTCACACAGACAACGCACTTAATTTTACGCGCAGCTTTCGAGGCGACTGTATACCGCCTGTTTCCGTGAACTTGGGTGTACGTTAAGAAGGTGTGGAGATATTTGTCTTCGAAACGTGTCCACCACTTTCCAAGAAATCGTTCCAAGAGCCTATCAATCTTGAAGCCTACCACGCCAAAATCGTGATCCGTAGGTTCAGCCGAACTAGAACATCAGAACAGGACTAGGCCGTCTTCCACTTAAGAGGTAATTTAGGGAGACGAGACGATAAACAAACCTCTAGAGCAGTTCTGAATTCTTGGTTCGCTTTCGCGGTATTGGCTTTTTCTTCGTCATCAAATGCCGATAGTGCTTTTCCAATTATAGGATGCGTAAATACGGTGAGACGCTCCTCCCATGGTAGTTTGTTAAAATGTTCGGAAATCTGAAATACAACATCATAATGGGTGCTGAGATAGATGAGGGGGAGGAAATGATAAGCAGTGGGACTAGGCCACGCCTGTTTTCTGTTAGTCTGCACCTTGTCGACGATACGGTGCTCGCTCGATGGCTTTTCACTCCTTTATCAAAGCTTTATGCCGCTTCCATAGTTGGCGAATCGCGCAAGTCGTGACACTGCGCTCCACCACTATTCGTTGGACCGGTTCTCAAAGTTTCAAAGGAGTTCGATCTCGGATGTGAGCAAAATCTAGCTGTAGCGGTCTGAGATGAGCTGCGAAAACGCCGTGGTGGATCGCAGTCACGCGACTTCGGTCGCAAAGTATAAGCGGATTGCAGGCAGCAAGAAGAACGTGGCCCAGTCAGAGAAAAACTTAGTCGAACTCACCACTTGATCGAGACATGCCGCATCAATAATATCACCTTGGTCCTCTTCCATACTTACACCTCCTTTTTTCTTCTTTTTCTCGATCACCTTGAATAGTACGAAATTGGGCTTTACATTACTCTATCAGTAAAATATAAAAGCCTTTCAGAAAGAAACCAATACGTCAACAGAAGTATCAGAACAACTCTTACCCTCCTTGTTACCACAATTTCCGAAGCATTTGCCACTTGATCCTCGAACTTGGCACCAATTTGACGGCCGTGAATAGGCTGAACCGTAGCATACAGAGTTTGGAGAAAATAAGCACAAAACAATTATCACCTGCATGATCGCCCAGGGTCCAGCATAGGTTACCTTCAACCGGATAAGCGGAAGTTTTGGTTGTTGCGGTCCACGATTAGTTTCTGCCCATCGTATCATTTCACTGATTTTTTGTCATCTATTATCATTTCATCCTGAAATATCACACAGATCTTTTGTTTCCATAACGATGTTTAACCAATTGGACTATTGGCTCATTGGTGTTTCTCGTCTTGTTCACGGCCACTTCGTTGACCGCACTGATAGCTTTTCGTAACCAGGGAGGTAAGGCAGCGTTCAAAGTTCGCGGAAGCCCATCGCGCTACCATTGCAGCCGCGCTTCAGTGCGACTGACGGTAAGCAGCTATAGATCGATATCGGGTATCGATCGGCGCCGGCCGCTTGAGAGAGTATGAGAGAACAGGAGGGTACGTTGCCTATTTACACATTCCGGTATCGATTGGCGCCAGCCACTTCAGCTTTAAGAAAGTATAGAGGAATAGAAGGGAATCCTCCTGTTCTTCTATACTCCATGTGGTCAGGCAACGCATACCATCTTATTCTTTTATGCTCTATCAAGCCATTTAGCGACTGGCGCGATCGAGTACCGTCTATGGCTACTTTCGTCCATCAGCACTGGAGAACGCGGCGCGTCATCTTTGCAAGCCTGAGGGCTGCAAAAGGTTACTGTTAGACCTCGTGTGAACTTCTTGGACTAACACGAACAATTTGGAATGCAAGCATTTCACGTATATGTCATGGGAGATTTTACACCCTAGCTTCCGTCATTGGCATCCCCTTCTATCTGAAGGGGAAGGGGCATCAGCGAAGAAAAGGCACATGGCTGTAGAGTCCCATACATACTGATGTGGGAAGAACGTCTTTAGACGGTGCCGTGGACGACCCACAGTCCGCGTCAAAGTAACTAATGGTATAATGAACTAAACGGCGCTGAGATGACAACGGGGGGTCATGTAATGGGGCAAATGGAGGCAGTGCTTGTACAGTTCCTCGAAACGCTCCCGGAAAAGTGACCAGAGCACGACACATAAGGAGTAGGACAGGATGTTAAGCCGTGACAATAACCGTTGAAAAACAAGCATGATAGGGAACCGAACTTACTTCCACTCCTTAAGGGCATGTGAATAACCAAAGTTACTTCCGTAATATTCCGTAATGTAAATAAAGAGACCAAAACCCTACGTACCAGAACAAATCCACCTCCAGACGGTCGTACACCGTTTGCTGGAAGCCTTACTCCTTCTGGTAAGGTGTCAAGGATAATCTCGTCAACTACCATAGGACGAACTGTTTGCAGTGGGATCGGTTTGCATTGGAACTTTCTGCCTTTGACCTGAAATATCATAAAATGAGGCTAAATTACACCTATACATTCGGCTTTTTAAAATTTGTTCACCATGTACCACAAGATTGCTGATTATGAAGCGAGACTTGACTCTTAGGCGGCACTCGAACAGCACCACGCTCACCGGGGCGGGCCAAATTCCGCTCTCACGGGCTATCTACTACCTCTCATGTTCACTAAAGTATTATGCAAAAGGGCGGTTCTGTATTCCACACAATCAGCCTTGTTACGCCTTATTTTTTCCCCAGAAAATTTGTAGGAAATGGAGGGTACCATACTAATTGCCTGTCGTCAAATCACTTCTTACCAATCGGCACGGGAGAGGGCGCTTAGGTGTAATACTTCGTGCGGGTGACAGTAATCCCAGTTTTGCACACGTAGTCGGTCCAAAGCAACGAAGGGTCAGAAAATTCGCTTTTACACCATTTTGTGAATTTTCTCGTTGGACGGCAGTTAGTACCAGAAAGTGTAAGGTAACGATTGTGAGCCAGAAGGGAAAGTAGCTCCGAGGTGGGTGAACCAAGTTTTTCGTGCGAAAAAGGTGATCAAACTCTGTGAGAAGCGAGAGAAACTAGGTAGGTTCTATTTTCCCAAATGCTTACAGTAAAAGAACATGTTGTCGTGGTTTCAAATACATTAGCTGCTCTGCTCCATCTTATTGGAAGAATCTTGCTTTTTAAGAAAACAAAAAAGAAAAACCTTAATAAGAAAGACGTTCTTTTGCAGTGCTTCCTCCCTTGTCAACGAGGTAGCGATTGTCGAACCTGGTTGTAGAATGTAAAAGCCATCACCAGCTGCATCAGATGAAGCTACATACTGGCAATCTGAAGTTACATAGTTACTAGTAAACAGGTAGCTTCTGAAGTTGACAGGATGCCAGCTGCTCTTCTGTGAAGTACAACCTTTATGGGGGCAAAAGTGGTTGGGAGGAGGGGGGGGGGGTTACAAGGCGGTGTAACCATGCCATGTCATGTATTTTCAAACTCGTCTTGCCACGTGTTTTCGAAGTCTTGGAATGGGTAGATCTGTCAGCCTGCTTGGGCCTTTTTCTCTGCAATGAAAGGGCGCAGGCATGACGTGACATAGCCGCGCCGCCGTGTTGCTCCTGCCAACTACATTCTTCCTTTACTAGAGAAAAACTCACGTGGTTTGCTTTCATGTTCATGTCCCCAAAGAACAAGATCGAAAAACGTCGGGATGTACTGCTCCGGAAGATAGGCCCCAGTCGAGCGAAGCGTCGACCTTTAAATTTACACTGCTTTATTTCGAGAACCTATGACTACAATGATTTTCTATCGCTACTATTTAATGCTACGTATGAATCAGCGGGACATACAGTATGGTTCGCGTCGGATAATGGGACGTGTCCGCGCGGCTGATTTTGGCGCGCAGCCAACCTCATTCTCCACCAACTGTTGGGGAGGAGGGTAACAACAAGCTGGTGGAAAACGAATAATATGAAGCATATGACGCAGTCTTGTCTTCGTCGAAAGAATGAGAGGGTCGGCACCGAGCATCGCAGCCGCGCGAACCACGCTATCATCCGCAGCGAACCGGACTCTACCCAAGTTAAGGAACAGATCATGCAGAGGGAGTAGGGATAAGTCTGCGCCACTTTGGTCGTCTACGCTACGTTGTTGTGAAAGAGTTGGGGGAAGGGACTAATATCTCGATCGGGGGGAGCAGGAGAGCAGTTTAGTTACACAGCCTGTCTCCTCCCCCCAACTTGCCCCTATTCGGGAATCCATGATGATCTTTAACATAAGAGAGGGACACAATCTGAATGTCACTGGCAAAGCGAAACTAGTCCTTCAAACCTTTTTGGGCGATTCTGGTGAAGGACTAAGATGTTGAACCAGTCATCGTATCCAGCGCGAGGTCGTAGAAACCGTATGGTATGTCCTAAATATCCTAATCTGAGAAATAATCCTAGAGCGCTTCCATACTTCGTAACCTGATCGCTCGCGTTGCACCATCGGATCGCGAAGTATGTACGCGCTCTTAAACACTCTGAATCCAAACATCGTACCAGCGAAGGCTCTGCAGAGTCGATCATCTCTCTGACTTCCTATACCAAACAATGCTACACGTGTTGAGCCCTTCCGTAGGAGGATAGGACTAACCTGTGAGTATGGATAGTATGAGAACTTTAGCGTTTGAAACAGGTACGTCTTTCATTGCTCCAGAAACATGCGACTGATGGAAGTGGTTCATTTCTCCCTCTGCACCTTCCCAGATTTCGTTCTAACCTTGCGATTCGGCTAATGATGTACGTTAGGCTGCGTTCATACTTCGCGTCAGCAATTTGAACGTGCGGCAACGTTTCGAGCGTTTGGATCGACAGGAAAATATAGATATCGATGTAGCGTACACCAGGGGACGGCAATGTTTTGAGCACACGCTAGCGAACAGCAGCGTTCGAGCGTCTAGGAATGTAAAGATATCAATCTAGCGTTTTGAGCGTACGCCACCATTTTCAGCGACTGCCTGCGAAAGGCTTAAAACGAAAACGCTCAACGCTCGAAGCGCTTACGCAGAGTATCAATGCAGCTTTAGAGGCATTTAGGTAAAACTAAAAAGCACTCCCCGCGCTGCCAGCACCTTGATACCACCAGCGGAATCGCCATGGTTGTAAAATGAGGGCTGGCGAACAGAATGCAGTCCAGGGGCGTCCACGTTGTGGCGACGCAGCATTGCAAAGTGTATCACGTGCACGTCCTTCGCACCAGGACCTAATTCGCTCAAGGTAGCAGCGTATATTGAGCAGACTAGCTAAGAAACAGCCTGATAATTCTTGCGCGTCATTACAATGCGGATCTCCTGAGCTATGATCGGAGCACAAGGGCCGAATTATTGACGAAATGTCCCTTCCAAATTACCTTTACGCGAAAATAAATATTGTGAAGAAAAAATTTCAAAAAGCTGTTCTGTGTGCACAATAATCGAAACACCTTCAATATATCAAAGTTGTACAACTTACGTCAAACTGATCAATATCCGAGAACTTGCCAAATAGGTTGACCAGACCTGCCTCATGCAAAACATCGAGAATAGTTAGGACCCTGAAAGAAGTTCAGTACTTAGTTCCGAAAGTAGCGAGGGAATCTACTAATTCAAGCATACCATACCTTTCCAGCTGTATCGTCATGATTCCCATGAATGGTGAAAATAGGCAAACCCACATTTATATTAGCATCCTTAATTTAAGTGGTATCATTTAAAGTAAGTCTAGGCTCTCAGTACGCGTTAAAATCCAATGCTGGTATTGAAGCAAAAAAAAATCAGTGAGCAAAGACAGTTCGAGGAGGGGGGGGGGGGGCGCTACGCGGCAGTGTGAATATGCCACGTCACGAGTCAAGCTGGATAGGAACCTCATACCTAATCTTCTGCTCTCTCTCTCACCTATTTCAGACTTCTTAAATTGGCTCTTATTACGGGAAAAACGCTCAAGATTCAAAATGCACTGGTGCTGTTCCGTTACGTTTCTCCGTTGGACATTTCAAAACGTGACATAGTCGTGCCGCCGCGTGCCCCTTACCCCCCCCCCCCAACTACCTCTACACCAGAATCGAATTCGCCAAAACAAACTTATAACGTTGTGCTACCGAACAAAAGAACATCAACTATAACAAACTGACCTCATAATTGACTCTGTCGAAACGACTGTGTTCGAAATTTACGGAAGCGTCAGAGACAAACTCCAGCGCAACCTAGACGAGTAGGGAAAAGTAAAAAAAATACAAAAGAAGGAAGAATTATGTGAAAGAAACATACCTCTCTGTCATTCAAACAGTACTGACGAAGAAGTTGAATGACGCGATGTTGCATATCACGTGAAGGGTTATTTTCGTGGAACAAGTCGCCACCTCAAATTTGAGTCAGGCTATTTCCACGCTTCCCACGTTCCTATCACTGCATACGCATGAACAAGGAGTATCGAGTATTGCAATTGTGCGCGCGCAAAATCGATATCTATTCAGAGGTGTAGATGGAAGCCAATCACATGACAAGGTGAGACGACGCTATTGTAGTTGGTTGGGGGGGTACGTAGAATGTGGTTGTCTGCGGTCGTCTCAAGATGGGAGGGGAGGGAGAGGAGCATTATGTGGGTGAAAGAG